AGAATCAAAACGAATGATCTAAACAAAAAATATATATATATCTATGTGTGTATGTGTGTGTGTGTGTGTGTGTGCCATTGTCTAATTAGCTATATAAATGAGAATCAACAAGCCAAACTACATAAAAATAGATATATAGAATCATTTGATTATACATCTTATGACGTTTGTAAATCTTGTCTATTTGGCAAGGTAACAAAATCTTCTTTTAGTGACAAAAGAGATAAGGTTGTTGATTTGTTAGGCCTTATACATAGTGATGTATATGAACCCATGTCAACCTAAGCAAGAGAAGGACATGATTAATTCATAATCTTTTTTTTATGATAGATCATGTTTTAGATATGTATGTTTGATGAGACATAAATATAAAGCATTTGATAAGTTCAAAGAATTTAGATTTGAAGTTGAGAAACAAACTAGCAAAAGTATTAAGGCACTTTAATTTGATCAAGGTAGTGAATTTTTAGATCACCTAAAAGAGAATAGGATTCTCTCAAAATGGACTTCACTTGGAACGCTATAAATAAATGGTATGTCTATAAAGAGAAATTGGACACCGTTAGACATGATCCAATCCATGATGAGTCGTACCGATATCCCTATTTTATTTTAGGGTTATGCACTCTTTACTACAACCTTTATTTTGAACGAGGTCCAACAAAGTCTATTCATCGGAATCCATATGAGATATGGAAAGGAAAGAAAGCAAATTTATTTTTTCTTAAGATTTTAAGCTTTGATGCATATGCCAAACATTTAGGTGGAGGCAAGCTAGATGTCAAATCAATGAAGTGCAAATTTATATGATATCTAAAAGAAAAAATAGATATTACTTTTACCAACCATAAGAATGAAAGGTGGTCGTGGCTAGACATGTTGTTTTCCTTGAGTAGGAATTTACAAATGATATATACAATGGAAGGAAAGTTGAACTAGATGAGATTCGAGAAGGCTCATAAATTAACACTTAACTAGTAGAACCCTAAGTAAATAGATTATAAAATATTATAACCATCTCATAAACTAATAGATAAGAATTTTATTGGTCTAAATGAACTCTTCAAAAGCTAGAAAGATATGGTCTTCATATCTATAGACATTTTGATGTGTCTCCTATAGAGGCCGAGGAACCTAAGACCTATGAAAAAGCAATGTTAGACATTGACTCTAAAAAATAGGATGAAGCCAAGTAATGTACACTAACTAGTTATGGACTTTAGTTGACATTGACTCTAAAATGGAATCAATGTACATTAACTAGGTACAGTACTTTGGTTGATCTACCCGAAGATGTTAGCCCTATTGGATTGTAATGTAAATACTTACAAAGCCAAATTGGTGACGAAAGGCGATCGTAAAAAACAAGGGGTTGATTACGATGAAACCCTTTCACCAGCTTGTTATAATTAAATTTATTAGGATTATCCTTGCAATTACTACATATACGATTATGAGATATGGCAAATGGATGTCAAAACTACTTTCCTTAATAGAAATTTGAATAAGGATATGTACATGAAACAACCTCGATAGTTTCGTCACTAAATAAGATGCAAATAAGATTTACAAGCTACAAAGGTCCATTTACGGACTAAAGAAACCATCTAGGATTTAGAATCAATGTTTTGATGAAATCATAAAAAATTTTAAGTTTTCATAAAACAAAGAACCTTGTGTATACAAAAGGTTAGTGGGAGCTCATCATTCTTTATTTTTCTATATGTAGGCAATAAAATACCTCTCAATTATACTATTATCATGGTAAAAAAATGAAATCTTTTTATTAATTCTTGTTCTATATAGAAAACTATTACCCCTTTGTGTTCTCAAACAAAAATTACACCTCTAGCCAACTACAAAAAAAAAAAAAAAAAAGAGCTATATGTTCATGCTAAAGTCATGGCAAGTATATATGTCTTCAATTTATTCAATTTTCTAATATTGTTAAGAATTTAATGTTAGTGTAGGTGTCCAAGATCCAACCAGTTTGGATTGCTTGATTTATTGTATCATGGCATTTTTTTAATATTAGTAGAGATTTTTTTTTATTAATTCATGCTATTTATAATTAGATAGAATTATATAGAAGTCCATATGATATCTATTGCATTGATGATTGATCAATTATTGTGAGACAAACATTGATGTATTTAAATGATATGATTAAATGTCCCTAAGTCATAGCATTATCAACATTGGACATTGATAACATGCGATAAGATTTTTGAGTGCTATGCTCTTATTATAAGATAGTAGTAGGAGATCTCGGAATTATTGACATGGTGATATTAAAGTAAACACTCATATAAATAAATGTTAGAGAGCATATCACTGGACATGACTTGCTAGGAGAACGCATTTGGTTTAGTTTATGACAATCTCATATGAGATGGGTACAACTAATGGATATGACTTGAAGTCATCATAGTTATCTCAATAGAGGATTACTTTACTTTGAAATTCATTTTTATGGGCTTAGTAAAGAGTTGTATATGGGTGATTTATTAGGTGAATTAGAAAACTAATGGAGATATATAGATGGTTGACATTGGATATGTCATTCCTTACATGCTAAAGGAGTTATCACATTATATTTCGATAAATGTCCGGTTAAAGAACCTATGACCACAATGGAAGTATACCAATAGAGTATAATTGGTTTAATTGTGAAGACATTTGGAGTTCGAAGAAACTTATGTGATCATAATCGAACGGACTATAAACCAAGTTAGAGATCAAACTATGATAAATTAACTTAAGGATCTGAATTGAATTGAAACCATACTCGTAAAAGGTAATTGCACATTAATTAATCCTCCTAGAGAATTGAGTAGTCATAACGCCTTACTTGCGACCGAGTCTGGATTTATATATAAAAAGATAAAAGAATTTTTTTTTTATCTTTTTGATATATTGTCAACATATCTAGGATCATATTGAGTTATAAATATAAGTTTAAACATTCATATGATTAAGGAGAAGGAAAGGTATTGGAAAAAAGTTTCTTATTTTAGGAAAACTAGTTTCTTAAAATCAAAATTAGTTTCTTATTTTAGGATTTAGTTTTCTAATTTGGAATTCGAGTTTCAAATTTAGAATTCGAGTTACCTATAATAGAAATCATTTTCCTAATTTAGGTTTAAAGGTAATTTAGGACATATTTTCCTAATGTGAGCCCAACTAAAATGCTTATCTAATTTATTTGGATGGTCAAAATTAATTAGGTCAAAAGAGTTTGGGCTAATAGGTTTAATTTAAAAACCTACAAGTTATTTTGGTGGATGGATAAACTTGAGTACTAATGGATAATGCTCTGTATTTACAAGGATATGATGGGACAAAGCCCACATAAGAACAACTCCTTTCCTAACACAATGTTATTGCCACCACCTATATATTAGAGAGGAAATAGAGACATGACATACAAGAGAAAATAACCTAATAGTGTGTGCATCTTTCTAAAAACGAAAAGGGGAAAAATTTGCCATATTTTTCATTTTCTAAAATTGGTGCAAAACCCTAGTGATTTCTTAGAGAAAAATTTACTAAACATAATAGTTAGAGCTAGCACACCATAATTTTTGTTGCTTCTTGAGTGAGTGTTTGGATTATATGGATTATTAGTAGTGGCTAAAGACTTGGATGGTTTTTTTCATAAAAATTAATTCTATGCTATAAGTGGTTATTACTCATTATTATCTTGTTTTTGTTTATATGATTAGTTGATTCAAAAACATGATCTTAGATAAAGGAAATAAAACTTTTGTTTATTTTGCACCTACATAGGATGCATGATCCTTCAAATGGCTCTATCATAATTAAAGAATGAAAGACTAAACTCAATTACAAGAATAGTTGGATAAAGAATATATGCAGCCTAACTATTCTTTATATGGAGCATCGATACAATTTGTAAACAAAAAGAATGGATCAATCAAATTGTGTATTGATTATCAACATAAAAATCTAGTGACCATTAAGAGTAAATAACAACTTCACTAGATTGATGATTTATTTGACCAGTTGAGGGGAAGTTCAATGTTCTCCAAGATAGATTTACAATCACGAGATATCACTAGTTAAGGATGGAGGATGATATTGAAAAGACAATTTTTAGAGCTCGATATAGTCATTGTGAATTTTTAGCGATGCCATTTGGGTTAACTAATTCTTTAGCTATATTTTGAACTTGATGAATTGAGTATTCCACGAATACTTGGATGACTTCATCAATGATATCTTGATATATTTTGAGAGTCATGAAGAACTTATGGAGCATGTAACAAAAGCACTATAAACTTTGCATGAGCATAAATTGTATGTTAAACTTAAAATCTGTGCATTTTGGCTCGAGCAAGTAACATTTCTTGGACATTTAATTTCCATGGATAGGTTATGGTAGATCCTAGTAAGGTACAAGTAGCATAGGAATGAGAGCAATAGAGAAACATATCGGAGGTGAGAAGTTTCATAGGAATTGTAAGATATTATAGAAAATTTGTAGAAAGATTTTCCAAAATGGCTACTTCGCTTACCAAACCGACAATGAAGAATGCCAAATTTGAGTGGGGTGATGATTGTGAGAAGAGTTTTTAAGAGATAAAATTAAGGTCGAAGAGTTTTCAAGAGCTAAAATTAAGGCTAACCATATCATCAATTTTATCTCTCTCAAAGGATAATTAAGACTTCATAGTCTATACAAATACATCAAGGATTGGACTAGGCACGGCCTTGATGTAACATAAAAAGGTAATTACTTATGCATCCAAGAAATTAAAAGACTATGAAAATAATTATCACACTCATGATTTGAAATTAGTTATTGTGATTTTTTTCCTTAAAATTTAGAGGCACTACTTATATGTTGTTAGATACAACATCTATATCGATCATCGAGCCTCCAATATATGTTTACTTAGAAGGAGTTAAATATGAGGAAATTAGATGGCTTGAAGTTTTGAATGACCATGACATTATTTTTCATTTCCCCGTGTAAGGCAAACATCTTGGCGGACACCTTATGTCGAAAGGCGATGCTAGCTATACTTATATAGATTCTCAAGGATATAAAAAGGTTACATTTGGAACTCGAAGCAACGAAAAAGTAGTGAAATTATATTGGGTATGCTGCTATTGCAACTTGAAATAAGGAAAAAGGTTAAAAAAAAACGATTACGAGGATACAAAATTGCTTAAGGTCCAAAAGGATATAGTTAAGGAAAGTTATAGATTTTTCCATATATAGCAAAGATAATTCTCTCTATCATCGTAGGATATGTTTCTAGTAGTTAAAGAGCATCGAGTGGATAATTTGAGAAAATCTCATGCTACACCCAACTTTATCCACTCAAGGAGTACCAACATGTACCGAAACCTAAAGAGGATGTATTGGTGGAGAGGGATAAAGTGAGACTTTACTTACTACGTTGCCTAGTGCTTAACATGTCAATAAGTCAAAATTGTATATCGGAGGCCATTTAAATTATTAAGACCACGAAACATTCCCGAATGGAAATGAAAGCACATCACTATAAATTTCATACCTTTACTATAACGATCTAAGAGACAAGTTGATAGCATATAGGTCATCATCAATAAATTGACAAAATCAGCTCACTTTTTTTAGTGATGTTTATATACTCTATGCAGCGAATATGTTGAATGATACTTATAGGAGATAGTAAGATTGCATCAAATCTTAATTTTGATTATTTCAAGTCGAGACCTTAGGTTCACTTCATAATTTTTTAAAGAGCTTACACTAAATGATGGAAACCAATCTAACTTTTAGTACTATATTTCACCATTAGACCGATGAGAAAATAAAGAGGGTGAATTAAGTTTTAGAAGATCTAATGCGAGCTTGTTTGTTGGACTAGTCTATGAGAATGGAAAAGTACTTACCACCAATAGAATTCACTTACAATAATGGATATCAATCAAATATTGTCATGACACCATATAAGGCTCTATATGGAAACAAATTAGGTCATCAATAAATTTAGATGAAGTTGGTGAGTGAAAGTTAGTAGGAACTCGAAATAGTTTAGCAAACAATTGAGGTGGTTAAGTAGATTAGGCGAGAGGATGAAGACGGCTCAAAGCAAACAAAACGAGTTATGTTGAGACGATAAGGAAAGACTTAGAATTTGATGTTGGCGATAAAGTATTTCTAAGGGTGGCTATAATAAAAGGTGTTATGCAGTTCGAGAAGAAAGAAAATCTATGTCCAAGGTATATTAGTCTATTTGAGATATTTGAGAGAATTGAAGTATGTGTCTACAAGTTAGCTTACCTCCATCTCTCTAATTAGTGCATAACATATTTCATGTATCTATGTTAAGAAAATATATGAAAGACCTAAACCACATCTTAAAGGATGAGCCATTAGGCCTCTAACAAGACTTAAGTTATAAAGAAAGACTAGTACAAGTATTGGATCCGATGGTAAAACATTTAAGGAACAAAGATGTTATAGAGGAACAATAATATACAAGAGGCGAGTATGGGAACAAGAGGAAAACATGGAAGATAAATATCTAAAATTATTCAATTAATGAACTTGAAGGACAAAAGTTTTGTAAAAGGGCGGGATGAAATACCCTTGACCTAAAATCCTCCATAAGTGCCCGTAATCCGACATGTTTGGATGGTTTAATTTATTGTATGATTGTATTTCAATATAATCGAAGAAGTCCTTCTATTGATTCTTGTTATTTGTAATTTGACAGAATTAGATAGAATCCATATGATATGCGTGAATTAAAAATTGATCAATAATTATGAGACAAACATCAATACATTTAAATGATATCATTAAATTTTTTAACTCATAGCATGTAAAGATTGGACATTGACAATATACGATAAGATTTATGACATCTATGTGCTTGTTATAAGATAATTGTAGGAGATCTCACACCTATTAGCATGGTGATGCCAAACCAAGCACTCAAGTAAATAATGTAAAGAACATATCACTCGGACATGACTCACCATGAAAACCCATTTGGTATTATCCATGGGAATATTATATGAGATGGATACAATAGAATTACTTGTGGGAAATTCATTCAAGTGCATTAGGAATCTAATGGAGATATATAGGTGATTGAGATAGGACATGCCATTCCTTCTATGTTAAAGGAGTTATTATATTGCACTTTAATGAATGTCTCGCTCCAAGAATCTATGATCATAATGGAAGTATACCAATATAGAATAATTGGTTTAGTTGAGAGCAAAGACATTTAGAGATCAAGAAAACTTGTGTGATAATAATCGAAAAGACTATAAATCAAGTTCAAGAATAGATTATGATAAATTGATATGAGGATTGAATTGTATGGAAACCATGCATGTGAAAGGTTATTGTAGATCTAGTAATCTATTTAGAGAATTGGGTAGCCATGATGGCTTGTGAGAGGCAAATCTTGATTTATATATCAAGAGATAAAAGAAGTTTCTTTTATCTTCTTGATACATTGCCAACATATTTAAGAGCCTATGAGTCATATGCATAAGTTTAAACATTCACACAGAGAGAGAGAGAGAAGCGAAGGCTTAGAAAATATTTTCCTAATTTGGATACCTATTTCCTAATTGGGAAATCAGTTTTCTATTTTAGAAATTAGTTTCCTAATTGGAAATTAATTTCTAAATTTGGAATTTAGTTCCCAAAAATGAAAATTAGTTTCCTAATTTAGGTTTAAAAGTAACTTGGGAAATTATTTTCTAATGTAGACCTCCCTAAAAACACCTAAACAATTTATTTTGATGGTCCAAATTAATTGATGAATAATTAAGCTAAATGAGTTTGGGCCAATATGCTTAAGTTAAAGCCTCGTAAGATATTTTTGGTGGATGGATAATTTGAGCATTAAAAAATAAGGATCAAGGTTTATGGGGATAAGGTTAAATTAAGCACATACAAGTTATAACTCCTTTTCAAGAAAGGAGTTCTTACCACACCTATATATATATAGGGACAAAGAGATGAATGTGTGTGCATAAAAAAAGATAGAAAAGTTTTGTATGTCTCTCCTAATTATGAGAAAAAAAAAGGGCAAAAGTTGCACCATCCCTCTCTCATACAATACACCAACCCTAAAGAGATTTACGAGAGAAAATTTACATTGCGAGAAAAGGGTGGAACTAGCACTCTATGATTTTTACTACTTCTTGCATGGGTGTTTAAGCTTCATTCATCATTAGTACAAACTGGATGTTGCGATGGTTCTTTTCGTAAATTGATTTTTGCATTACAAAAGGTAACTCATAATCATCTTATTGCTAATATAGTTAGTTGATTCAATGATTGATCTAGGAAACATAGATGGAGGAAAAAAATTGCTTTATTCCGCACTTCCGTAGAATGCATGATCCGTCAATATATATATATATATATATATATATATATATATATATATATATATATATATATATATATATATATATCTATGTGTGTGTGTGAATAATATATTTAATTAATAAATCAATATTTATTTAAAGTAAGGATTAGTAATTCATACATACATAATGAATAAATTAATGTATGTATAATTATTATCGGAATTCACATATAAGTTTATTCAATAATTGATTAAAACAAAAAAAGGAATTTGACTATTTCTAATCAAATCGATTATTTTTATATTAATTTATTTTTAAGGAAAATTAATAAGAAATTATTATATAAGATTAAATGTGTTAATTCTTGTATATTGGAAGACTTAATTAATCCGATTTTTTTGGCATCATTTGTGAAAAAATAAAATGAAACAAATTACTTTTATTTAATCCAAGTTTTTCTAATTAAAATTTAAAATAAAATTTATTAATGTGATTTTTTTTCCATATTTGGAATTTAATATATCTACACATTTTACTTAAAAGAATTTATTGCTATTTAATGAATTTATTTTTGAAAATTTTTATACCTAGTTTTTAATTAATATTTTACCAAGTTAATGTAAATTATCGAGCACCCACTATGAAATTCCTTAGTTTAATTGTAAGATTAAGGGAGGAGGCTTGATTTCTTACATTCATTACACTAGGAAGGTGTGGCATCGTATGTAATATCCTTAACTTATGTAGATCTTAGGTCTAGGGTGTTATGATTAATCCGAGAATAGTAGAAATCTAGGAGAAGAAATTAGGATTACATAAGGACCCAATCAATGAGAATTACTTAAAGACGGACAAAGGGGTTGTAAATTGAGAAGCTTGATTAAAAAAAATCAAAATATATGAGGACTAAAGTGAAAATGGATTATCTACATGAAATTAAACACACTAACTCAAAAGATTTGTCATTCACCTCCTCCTTTTTAACATGCCAAAAACCTCTTTAGTTCTAGTCATCATCTTCATATAAAGCACACTCCTAAATTCCCTAGCTTTGGTGGCACCCTTAGTCTAGCCAAAAGCCAACCCCAGCCGACTCACCATATAGTATTAAATTCCCTCTCTATCACCAAGCCAAAATTAAACCTCTAACTAATTACCTTTTCCTCCTCTTCAAGGCTAAAAAGTAGCGGCTATAACAAAAAACTAACAAAGGCCAAAAAATGCTTCCCCTAGAAAATGAGAAGAGAGGAGCATCTATAGAGGTTCAAATGGAGTGCCAAGATCATAGAAAGGAAAATTAATGCTTGAAGAAAAGGGATATATATATATATATCTAAGAAAGGCTCGATTAAAAAAAAACGTTTAGTTTGTTTAGAGAGAATAGTTAGAGAGAAATCATCAAAAAACCTTTGAAAACTAGAGAGAGAAATAAAGAGAGAGAGAGAGAGAGCACCTTGAAATTAGAGCGAGGGTTTTGAGGAACTAATAAAAGAAGAAAGTAGAAAAAGAGTTAAAAAAATCCAACTCGAGACCAAAGAAAGGAGTGTTAGGGAGCCATTATCATATACTTCATTTTTTGTTGCTTTTAAGCTATAATGGGTATGAATTATTACCTTTCCTCTTCATATATTGTTTCATAGAATGTTAGTGTTAGAGTAGATTCTTTGTGTTATGGTTTAAATGAAGGGATCATGCATCCTATGGAGGTGAGGAATAAACAAAAAACTTTTCCTCCATCTTAAGTTTTCAAGATTATGTCGTTGAATAAATTAATCATACATAAACATGAATAAGATTATAGTGTGTGATTACCTCTTGTAGTGTAGAATAACCTTTGTAGAAAGGAACCGTCCAGGTGTCCGACCTCTATTAATAATCCACATAGCTCAAATACCCATATAAGATACTACAAAAATCATTGTGTGCCAACTCTAACCTTTTCTTTGTATTAATTTTCTCTAAAGGAAATTAGTTAGGGTTTTTACGACAACCCTAAAGAGAGAGAGAGAGAGACAAACGGTGGTAGGTTTTTAATAGAAAATACTTTTCTTTTCTTTATCTTCTTATTTATTGTCCCTCTATCCTTCCTCTATTTATTGGAGACAACAACTTCTTCTTATAGGTCAAGGAGATATTGCTTATGTGGGTTTTGTCTAACCTTATCCTTGTAAACTCGACCTTTATTCAATATTGCTTAAGTTTATCCCTCTATCAAAATATCTTACAAGTTTTTAAATTAAACCTATTGGCCTAAACTCTTTTGGCCCAATTAATTATCAATTAATATGGATCATTCAAATAAATTGGGTCAAGTATTTTAGTGAGGTATATATTAGGAAATAATTTTCCTAATTACCCTTAAACATAAATTAAGAAACTGATTTCTATTTTAGGTAACTAACTTCTAAATTTAGAACTAATTTCCAAATTAAGAAACTAATTTTTGAAATAGGAAACTGATTTTCATTTAAGAAAACTAACTTTCTAAAATAGGAAACTTTCCAAAATATGAAACTTTTTTCAAAAAAATTTGCTTCTTTTTTATCGTGTGAATGTTTAAACTTATATGTTTGACTTAATAGACTCCTAGATATATTGGCAATATATCAAAAAGATAAAATATATTTCTTTTATTGCTTGATATATAAATCAAGATTGGTCTCTAGCAAGACATAATGACTACCTAATTCTCTTGGAAGATTAATTAATCTACAATTACCTTTCACAAGAATGGTTTTCATACAATTTAGTTCTCATGTTAACTTATCACATTGTGATTTCAAAATTGGTCTATATTTTATTTGACTATGATCGCACAAGTTTTCTTTGATCTCTAACTTTCTTAATACACAAGTAAACCAATTATGCTCTATTGGTATACTTTCACTGTGACCATAAATTATTTGAATAGACATTCATTGAAGTGCAATGTGATAACTTCTTCAGTATATAAAAAATGACATCTCCTATCTCAATCATCTATATATCTCCATTTGATTCCTAATGCACCCAACAAATTGTCCATATACAACCCTTTAATGAGCTTATTGAAACAAATGTCAAAATACATCAATCCTTTAATTAGATAACCCCGATGACTTCAATTTAAAAGATTAGTTATACCCATCTCGTATGGAATTTTCATAGAGTAAATCAAATGGGTTCTCATGGCTATTCACATCCAAGTGATATGTTCTCTAATATTATTCAGCTAAGTTCTTGTTTCGGCATCACCATGTCGGTAAGTGTGAGATCTCCCACTACTATCTTATAGAAAGAGCATAGCACTCACAAGTTTTATTGTGTATTGCCAATGTCCAATCTTGATAATTCTATAACTTAGGAAATTTAATCATATTATTTAAATGCATCAATGTTTGTCTCACATCAATTGATCAATTATTAATATAATGCATATCATATGAACTTCTATCTAATTCTATCAAATTTTAAATGACAAGAATTAGTAGAAAGATTTCTTTACGAATGTTAAAAAGATACAATAATACAATAAATCAAATCATCCAAATAGATTGGATCTTAGGCACTTATACTAGCATTAAATTCGTTGAAAGTATTAAAAAATTGAATAAATTAAAGACATATATGCTCGCTATGACTTTAGCATGAATAAATAGCCTATTTCCTTCATTTTTTAGTTTGCTAGGTGTTTGGTTTTTGTTTAAGAACACAAAGGTGTAATAGTTCTAAGCTCTAGAATTAGAGAGCTTAAGTTAGTGGGGAAAAAAACCATAAAAAAGGCAATCCTAAATGGTTAGTTAGCTACTAAAATAAGAACAAGAAACAAGGTGTTTTTTTAGGTTCAGTGGGTTGGGAGTAATAAAATGATTTGAATGTTTATTAATGGCATTATGTTAGGTGTTGTTTCATTAGTTAACTTGATTAGGTGATTGGTAATTTGATTAATTAGAATGATCTAAATGAGTTAATTGTTTAAGAAGAGGAATTAATTAAAAGTACAATGGAGGTCTAAGTAGATGATTACTTAATTTAGTAACTAAAGAATTAATGGTAAAAAGTATGGAATCAAAATGGTTTGGCAAAAAGGGTTAGTAAGGTAAAACGATTAAATGAAATTAATTATTAATGAATAAATACACTCAATTGGTTAGTTTCAAATAAATTTAGAAACAAATTATCATAAGTCTAAAAAAAATTTTAAATGGCTAAAACTCTAATTAAGAGTTCAAAGGAATTTATTAAATGCTTAGTTGAATTAATAGAATGAATTTCTAGTCTATGCAAATTTTATTGAAATGATGGCATTAAATCTTGAATTAATGGTTTACTATTTATTGATTATTTTCTAATCAAATAAAAAAAATGATAATTAAATTATTTTTGAAATAAAAATAATTTCAAATAATTTTATTTTATTTTAAGGAATATTTGGAAATAGAATAATTCTAATTTAAATTAAATATGAATTTCTAAAAGGAATTTGAGAAAAATAAAAGACACGGTTCAATTTAGTTTAATATAAGAAATTTTATTTAAATGATTAAATTGGATTTCAAGAATATGGATTTTTGACCAAATTATCGCATTTAATATTTCTATACATAATGTAAGAATTTTAATTGGTGTTAATTGAATTTTTAAAAAGAAATTATACCAAATTTTTATATAATATGGACCTATTATTTCTTATTAATTAGCGATTCATATGAAAATGCCCATTTTGTTAACAATTTGGAAATGTTAAGAAAAGAGGCTTATTGGCTTGCATTAATTGCACTTTTAATGTAAGTCAATATCAATAATACTCTCGACCTATCTAGGTCTTAGGTCGAGAGTGTTACGAGTGGTATTAAAGTAGTTTTATCCTAGTAATCTTATTTAGGATGACCGATTAAGCACACAAAAATCGAGTCTCGATGACAAATAAGGATAAATGGTATGTGATCCTTAATAAATGCATGTTTGTATGTCATGTTTATTTGATGTTTTGTAAATGTTATTTGAATTGTGATTTTTTCAATGTGAATGTGTTAATGGTTGAATTATTAACAAGCAACAAAAGAGAGGAAAGTAATGAGGCATGTGATTATATTCATGGTTAGTATAGGATGCCACTAAAAAAGAACATTAGTAATAATAATGATAAGGGTCCGAGTAGGAATGTTGTAGACCAAGAGAAATACTTAACAATACTACTTAGTTAGTAGTGCGATATGATAGAGTAAATGTGGAAGATGAAGGAAATGTATTAAGTATTTGATATGAAAATGATTGGCATGAGTGTAAAGAGGATAATCTATAAGATACGCTTTGCAAAGTTAGCATGATTGCCATTATGTAAGGAAAGAAATGGATTCATAGTTAAGGATAGGAAAAGTTATATTGAGAACGTGGTAAAGCATACAAGGCCTTGTATGTTGGAGGGGCTATCCAAGGGAAAGACTAGCAAAGAGAATGATCTTATGAAAACTTTTTACAAGGCATGTTGTAGGAATGATCTAATAAATACCCCCGAGTGCCAAATGAAAGAGGACATACTAAGAGAATGATTTGGTGAATATTGTTAGTGTGTAAAGGAAGTGATCTAGTGAATAACCCTAGATGTTTTAAGGAAAACATGTTAAAAAAGAAGATCTAAAAGGCATGTAAAGGATTTGTCTAATAAATACTCTTGAGTTATAAAAAGATGACTCACAAGAGAATAATCTAGTGCATACTCTTGTGAAGAGAACAGAAAAAGAATGTTGAACTATAAAGATGAAAAAGAATTAGAGGATTCATGAATAGAGGTTTATAACCATCAATTTTAATGATCAATAGTTAGGAACCATGCATGTTTAATGACTAATGATAATTGAAGAATATAAGTGATCATGATGAAAATTCTAGGGAAAATTTTTTATGAGGGGATAATGTAATATTTGCGACCTAAAAACCTTTGTAAAAGTAAATATGTCTACAAGAATAATTTATTTAATTAATAAATGAATATTTATTTAAAGTGAGGATTGATAAATTATGCTTGAATAAAAAATAAATTAATGCAAACATAATTATTATGGAGGTAAATGAATTAAATAGGTGAATGAATTAATTAACTTATGAATTAGAGGATTACAATT